CGCCTCAGGCAGGGGCGAGGCGATGTGACCCTCGCCTCGGTCGCCTCGCCTCGAGGCGTCGCCATGGCGTTGCCATTTTAAACTATGCTCGTTAGACACCAGTAGATTAACCAATGTCACAGCTTGGGACGACAAGCATCTGTCAAGCCAGCTGCCTCGCCCGTGGCCTGACCTCCAGACCCTTTTGTTGTGTCGGGCTACCGATTCTCGAAACGTGGGGACAAAACAATGGCTCGTAAATAGATGTTGTCTCCTGCTCATCGATTTTGGCAAGGAGAACAAATAAACCCAAGGACCTCCATATAATTACAAGCAGAGAACACCAAAACAAACCCAAAATCCCTCCATATGTAACCCCTATGTATATATAGAGCACCAAATTAACCCCCAAACCCCTCCACGTATAGAGAGTAAATCAAAATTTCAGGCATGTAAATAGTAAATTTATCTAAGATTATCAAAGTTCCATGCACACGCACACAAACATAATACCTTACACAAGTCACCCACCAAGGAAAATGTTTGATACTGATGTAGCGATCTCCATCAGATACTCTGCCCCACACACCAGCCATAACATCCCTGACCAGCCACACAACCTCCAGAAACTCGGGCAGCTTCATCTTAGCCTCAAAATCCCTCACAGCTTTTGACGGAGGTAATGTCATCTGTCCCATCCAACAATTTACACGGAAACACAAAATATGCAGGATTGAAGACCAATGAAAAACAACTATTTCTAATAATATGTCTACACTGTTATGTTGATTATTATTTTAAATGACTCAAAGGATTTTCACTCAAGACAGGGGATTTTTACGCATCAGGGATATGATCCTGGGAAAAGTATTTGTCGCATACAAGAAAAAAAGAAATAGTAATGAAAGGTAAAGGAAAGGACATGCCTACATTTCTCTTCTTATTCTCTTCTTATAGCATTATTGCTCTCATCAGACCTCTTGCTGATGCATTAGAAAGTGTGTGTATCAAACAGATTTGAAGAACTTTCATTAGACTTCACATCCTGCAATAAATCCAGTATTCTACAGATTAGTTCATCAAAGAAACAAGAAGATGGACTTAGCACACAATTCCTCACATATTTTATATCACAACTCCCATCATAGAAGTCCTGATAAAGCCACAAAATTACCAATAACTTCTCTAAAAGACTTGCCACTGACAGTTTAAGGAAATCCTTCAATTCTATGCTTTCAGGTGAAATCTTTTCCAGGAACCAAGGCTGAGACTTTTCTTTTATATATGACCTGAAATAAACATAAGTGGTGAAAAAACCTTCATTTGTTAAATCATAATACTTAAAAATACACATGCTATCAGGACAACCAAGGGTCAGTCCAAAATAAGTATTATTGTTAAAAAATAAATAAAAAATAGTTAGCCTCATACCGTAAGAACCCATAATCATAGGTCCAGTGGAGCGTAGCACAATTCACGGAGATCACATCATCGACGAGGCAACAAAATTGCATGCACGTCGACCAGATGTTTTGGACAGGGAATCCGCCAAGATGATGTCATTTCGACGGCCAAAGAAGAACAAATTTATCCTCCAACCCGAGGTAGTTTTAGGGTAGCAAATCCTCCAACATGATGTCCATTCCATGACTACCAGCATAAAAAATTTCAATTAGACTACAAAGACATATACCAAAATAAACTATGCGAATAAAACTAATCAAATTCATTCCAACTATATCGTACTCATAAATCAACACAAAATCATAACATGAATAAAAACCACCAAACCACATTATCGCGACTTTTTCCACAAATTATAGCATTGTGAAAAAAAATTGTCGTATTCCTGACAGCAACACGCATCTGAAAACAAGTCATAGAGTTTCACAAACTAATCAAACTTGAATAATAAAAATAAAGTCCCATTACAACACAACAACAATGCTATTCTCTTTTTCGTTACATTGTTTGTTGTATGCTCGACCAACCCAAGTGCCTATGGAAAAACCAAACACGAAATAGAATGTCTACAAAATATAAAAAGGAAAAACGTGGAGAAATGAGTAGATGAGTACAATGAAATTGTACCAGCCAGTTGTGGTGGGCTATGTTGTCATCATTTAGAGTTGTCTCTGCGTCGGTCTCTTTTGTTGGACCGACGCAGAAATCATTCGTAGACGGGCTCCACAAATTCCTCTCATCGAGTCCTAACAGAAATGCGGCGTCGTTGAACTAAAAACTCCTCTTGTGGAAAGGGTGTGACTGAGGTGAAAACAAAACGCCTCCGGCAATCTCGCCGTTCAGGAAGGCTAGGGAATCGCTCCTCTCGCTCAGGCCCATACAGGTCTCACAAGGATTCGCTCATTTGGAAAGTATCGCGGCAAACCCTAGTGCTTGCGAAGGAGCAAATTTACGATTAACAATCTCGATCGTTACTTTCTTGTCGCCGAAAGCAAAAGATTTTTGGGATTCTGTCCCTCTGACATGAAATTACATATTAACCCCAAAAAACATAGTCAAACAATGGTTTTCTAGTCCTTGATCAAAACTACGTCGTTTAGATGGCACAAAGAGAAGAGTAAAACTGCCACGTGGAGGGTATAGAGACAAGCTTACAACACCAAAAACTTGCCACGTGGCAAGCTCACAAAGGTCTCACATATTTTCTTATAAGAATAAGAGATATATATATATATATATATATAGGGTTCTAGTGAGAATGGTTCTCAATAAAAGAAATAAGTATAAATCATAGTCATTGGATTAGATGATCTAATGGTTAAAAATAAATAAATAAATAACACACTTATCCAACTCATTAAGGCTGCGGTTACTAGCAATGACAGGATTGGATTAGGTCGGTTAACCTACCTAATCCTTTGTTTACTAGACAGGTTAATGATAGGAAAAAAATGATGTGTAGATTAGCTGGCAGGTGGGCCCGATGATATTAAAATGATGTGTGAGGTTAATTCCATCCCCTCAGCTTGGCTGGATTTTTTAATCCTCTCTTTCATATTCCAACTTTGTCCAAAAAGTAGGCAGCAAAATGTCTATTATACCCTTCAATGTCATCAAATTTACAGATCTAGTAATTATAAAACAAAAAAACTCACGATTATTGCAGAAATCTACTGGAACTCGATAACCCTAGAAACTCCTACGTAAATGCCCTATCTTTTGCTTCTCCTTCGAATATAAGTTCAAATTTTTTCGTATTTCTTGCAATTGCTCCTTTTGTGAACTTGCAGGTGTCGCTTGTTCTTGGTCGACAGATCCCGACAAGAAATACTCCAAACCAAATTCGAGGTCATGAATGTACTAATTTCTGCTTCAATTATTTTTTGTTCTTCCATTGATTTTTTATTTTTTTTGCCAATGTCTTATTCAGGTAATTTAAATTTTGTTGTTAAACATTTGTATATATATGTGACAATTGACTTTGCTCATGTGTGGTTCATTTTTATTTTCTTCCATATTTTTTTCCCATTGAAATGCCTTTATGTTTGCAGAGGATTTCAGATTCATTTAATTTAATTTTTTTTAAAAAACATTGATATATACATGTCATAGTTCAATCTGCTATGGCTTCTTTTATGCGAGCTAGTTGGTGAAATAATTTGGGTTCAACATTTGAAGTGTTTATTAGAGCTTCATTCTTTATAAAAATCTTCTATGGCTTCTTTTATGTGAGTTAGTTGGTGAAACAATTTGGGTTCATCATGAAATACTATATACATTCTGTTGCAACACTGTCAATCTTGTAACTTATAGGGTATCTTGCTGTCTTTTTTGTTGAGTTGTTGAACCTTTGAGTCGATTTTATGTTTCCTGTTTGTTATGTGATGGGCATTTACCCTTAAAGCTGCTGAGGCAAACAAATTGTTTTGGATTCAGTCTGTTATGTTTTCTGTTTGTTTGTGGTTTGGATTCATGTGTTACTACCCTTTGCATTTAATTTATGTGGTCTTGCTATTAGGAATGTCAATAAAACCCATAGGGTCAGGTAAACCCGAGATGATTGGGTTTCGGGTCGGGTTAGGGTAGAATTATGCTACCCGAACCCCGGGTCGGGTCGGGTGTAGGTATAGTAGGCAAACCCATTATCCAACCCGATTACCCTACCCGTTTACCCGCAACTATTGAATCATATATACATACATATACACACACACACACACACACACATATATATATATATATATATATATATATAACTTATAATAAATATAAAAGTAGTCATGTGTATTTTTAAAAATTAGATTATCTATTATAATTTTGATTAAGGGTCAAATTTATTATATTTTTTATAATTTTATTATCATTTTTTGTTAATTATATAATAAAAAATAAATATTTAAGTTTAATGTTATAATATTAAATCGATTATAAAAAAAATTTGTAGATGGATTCTGTTGCGGATGAATTAGCTGTTGTTACCATATTGGAAGAGGTCATTAGTAGTATTCAACTGTTTTTGCAACTATCTATTTATTACTATATTAAATTCATCCACCCTAGGCGAAGACGTGGACGTGCGTCCAATGAGAACGACCTGTTATATCGAGCTAGTGATAGACTCCCCCATCAGATCACTTACATGCGAAGGTTGATAGACGTGAGCGACACAACTGTGTCGAGAACCTCGGTATGGATCGTAACTCCTTTGTCCGTCTTTGCTACCTTCTTGAAACCATTGGGGGACTTAGGCAATCTAGAAATGTTCCACCGAGCGAACAAGTTGCAATTTTTCTCTCTGTCCTTGCCCATCATAAGAAGAACGTCACACTAAAGCTTATTTTGTAAGATCCAATAAGCAAATACTTTAATCGTGTTCTTGACGCTGTTATCCGACTTCACTCCGTCCTAGCTGTGAAACCGCACGCAGTTCAGGCGAATTGTGTCAATGAAAGGTGGAAATGGTTTAAGGTAACCTACACCACACTTCACTACGTGTTACAAATTTGTTAGTTGAATGATCTCGAACTACTAATTGTTTAGTACTTATCTTTCGTTAGGGATGTCTAGGAGCACTAGATGGAACGTACATTGACGTGCGAGTCCCTTTGTCGGACAAGGCACGATATAGAACTCGTAAGGGTAATATCTCTGTCAATGTACTTGGGATCTGCGATAAAAATATGAACTTCGTCTTCATGCTATGTGGATGGGAGGGGTCAGCTTCAGATAGTCGCGTCTTGCGTGATGCGGTTACTAGGACGCGTGGTCTACGTGTTCCAACCAGTATAGAATGATTCTATTACCTAAACACCATCCAACCTTCATTTCAAATTTACATAACAACTTTCTTTATAAATTGAACATAACACTAGAATTTAATTATTTATTATGAAACAGGAAATTATTACTTGGTGGATGGTGGATACACAAATGGTCCTTATTTTTTAGCACCATATAGGGCTGTTAGATACCACTTACAAGAATGGGGTAGAGGGTCGCGAAGGCCACAGAACTTTAGAGAATTGTACAACCTTTGCCATGCCAAGGCTAGAAATGTAGTAGAACGAGCGTTCGGTATTCTGAAGATGCGGTGGGCAATTCTTAGGAGTTGCTCATATTATTCCATTCGAACCCAAAATCGCATTATCATGGCATGCGAGCTCATTCACAATTTCATACGTACATCAATGGCCACTGATCCCATGGAAGTGTTAGTTCCTGAGATACCAGATGATGGAGCCCCCACAGATACGACTGAGGATGATTTGATAGACCAAGTGGAGGGTAGCGTAGAATTGACAGAGTTTCGTGACCGATTGGCAGAGGATATGTTTCGTGATTGGCAGGATAATATGATTAGTTTAAGAACTGTTGTTTGAATATGCGATAGTCGTTCAGTTGTCGACTTTTTTTGGACCATTATTTGTGTGTCATTTTCCCCATATATGTTTATTTTGTTGTGCGTGTTTGTTTTTAAATTCGTTTTACCTAGTTAAATGTGTATTGTTTTTACATTGTAATGGAATGTGTTTGGAATTCATTTTAAGCATTCATTTCCAATTTGATAATTATGTTTCTTATGCAATGTTTATGTTAACAATGCAAACCAATCCAAACACAAAAAACTCTTGTTTGAACAAGTTTACTGATGGATTACTCTTGTTCACAAGAGAGTGGCCGAGCATCCTCCTCCAACTCATCAAGACGACGTGTTTGGAGCCCGCGTGAGGAGCGTGCCCTGATAGATATTTTGAAGGACATGGTTTTCGAGGGTTGGAAGGCGAATAATGGCTTTAGGCAAGGATACAATTTTGAGATAGAGAAAAGGTTGAAGGCCAAGTTTCAAAAATGTACCCTTCGAGCTGACCAACACATCAGCTCAAAAATACAGGTCTGGAGGAAGAACTATATGAGTGTGGCACTCATAAAAAGAACTTCCGGGTTCGGGTGGAATGAGGTGACTAAAACTTTTTCGTGCGAGGATAACGTTTGGTTCCCATGGCTAAAGGTAAGTTACAATGCTTATACATCACTCAAGGCAACTTATATTACTGATATAAACGTAAATTACTTTAGCTTTGTGCACACTTACTGTTCATAAAATATACTTTGGTTTGCATAACCAAATTTATCAACTTTAATTAGCCTGAAGAGTAGTATAATTACAATCTGTTCAAAATCTTCATGGCTGAAACTCACTCTCTCTCTCTCTCTCTCTCTCTCTCTCTCTCTCTGCTATTTGTTTTTTAAAAAAAACACATAATTGTTTTTTTCTCATTTCTAAAACTTACTATTGAAACCCATTTTTTTCTCAATTCTGAAACTTACATTTTTTAAAAAAAAAACACACACAATTTTTTTTCTCTCTCTTACACATTTTTTTTCTCAATTTTGTAACTTACAGAATAAAAGCAGAATTTTTAAGGTGACTCTGAATGCCATTTTAGGAATAAGTTGTATGTTTACAAATAAATTTACTTTGCAGCTCTGTACATTGTGAAGTTCATTTTAGACGAACATGTGTTATTTGCACTTCATTAATTAGTTGTTGTACACATTTTTGTAGGTGGATCCAAATGCAAAAACACTTAGGAAGAAGTCGTTCTCGTATTTTAACGATTTGGCAGAAATATTTGGGAAGGACAGAGCTACGGGAGAAAATGCACAATCCTTTGAAGATGCAGCCAATGAAGTTCCAGAGCTTGACATGGAGGACCAACCGGACTCTGATAATGAAGATGTTCCATTACAACAGAACCCACGCGAGGAAAGCCGAGGCATTCGCATGGGTACCACTTCAGGTACGGAGTCTGGGTCCCGTGTCAGGGCAGATAAGAGGCTGAAAAGTGGAAAAAAGAAGGGAGTTGGTCAGTGGGAGGACCGTTTTTTGGATATCATGCAAACTTTTTCCCAAAATACAAAAGAGACCTTGAAAGGGATTGCGTGTAGTCTTGGGGTTGCGTATGAGAAGGAAAAGAAAAGGAATGCGGTGCTTGACACATTGTCTGATATGCACTTCCTATCAAAAGAGGATAAAATGGTTGTGACGATGCGCTTATGTAAGAACGCACATGAGTTGTCTATGTTTTTCAGCCTATCCATGGAAGATAAAGCTATCATGGTCAAAATGATGTTAGATGGACGTTTGTAGGTTGTATGCGCTTGTGTATGTTTGCAGAATGTTCTAACTTGGTTTGGTGGTAGGATTTGCGAATGACCCTTATGTCTTTTGTGTTGTCGATTTGGATGGTGGTTCTTTTGTGTAATGGATTTGGATTGTGGTTCTTTTGTAGGATGAATTTGGATGTGGTTCTTTTTGAATCTGGAATATTAGTATTAATTCTATGTTATTTGAATTTGTCTATGCACGCTTGTATCTTTGTTTTGTTTTAAAAGTTGAATTTTTCTTTCTACAAACAGAAACAAAGATAATTGTGCAAAGAAGTCCACAATAACACACATTACTTTGGTACACTAGTTTAAATCAAAACAAATGCGAACCTTCAACAATAAAACATAACAAACACAACATACTACGAAACCAACATAAAACAAAGATGACAATAGAACAACATTGACTGGCACACAAGTACGAACATAGAGGATAATGCTACATTAATGGACCTATTTCCACGACCAATTGAACGTGTAATCCTTAGGAGTGGCGGAACATGCAGTAGAGACCAAATTTGTTTCCGATTCATCGGGATGCGTATGAGAGGAGTTGTAGTATGTTGGCTGGTTAACAGATCCATCCGTTGAACCAGTCTGGGTATGGAGGGATGGATTTTTTTTTTCCTGGCGAGTGAACTCATACCCATAAAAAAGCCATGACGCGGTGGCCTATGTTTACGTGGGATGTCCTTTGAACTCGCACGACCATGTTTTGGGGTATACTCTTCCACATCTATAATTTCAACACCTTTGTTGCGGCCATCTTTTGCATTCCTATCGAGTTCATTGTCACTGTCAGACAAAATATGATACTCGAAAGGAGGTACATACAGTGGATCCACTCGAAACAATTCGACAATCTTGTCATGCTGGGGATCACCTTCATTCATGTACGCTAACGAAAATTCATCCCACTACATAAACAGAAAAAAAAACAATGTATTTAAGTTTGCAACGTTAACATTGATAGAATCAGTTGAATCACAAAATCATTGATAAAACTCACCATTAGCAATTCATACCAAGTGTTTCCGAACAATGGTACTTGTTTTGGCCGATGTCGTACTGCACGCCATCCTTGAGTTTAAGGGATGTGAAAACTTCATGGCGTTTAGCTAAAATACCAACGCGGCTGGTGATGTAATCCGTGTTAAAACGTTTTTTAAAATACGAATTTACTGCTTTCGTAGTATCCGCAATGGACTCATCGTTAGCTGCAAAAGGAACAAATTGACCACACAACTTCTCGTCAAGCAAACAATTGATAAAAAAACTCATCCAACTTTGGTGTCCAATGGAGGTCGTACAGATAATCGGCCTGCACTACACCAAAGCTTGGAGCCATCGCAATTTTTTCAATTAAGCTAACTATTTTTTTTTTTTTTTGTAAGAAACCTAAGCTTTCAACTTCCTTCTACGTTTGTGGAGGTCTTTATCATGCAGTGGGTGTATAAATAGGAAATATCATGCTAGGGATGTGTAATGCATTGCCTAACGTGTACACATGGTAAAGATGGTCTTCGGGTTGTGTAGTCCAATCTAATCAATATTTCATTAAAGCTTCAGCCTACCTGTAGATCTGTAACGTGTTGTCATAGCACGTTAAATCAATTATGAATCTGTTGACCATATTCAACAATGGAATGGTCAATTCAGACACTATAACACCACAATAACACCACACTATTACTGTTTTGTACATCAATGTTCTTTCAAAGCAACAAAAAAATTACTGTTTTGGTCACATGCATTATCTTGTGACAGCTATTCATAGCAAAAAAGAAAAGGAATACGACAAAGCAACAAAATATTAATTAAAACCCACGGTTGTGTTACACAATGTTGTTCCATATTAAAGGACATACAACAAAGACACATGAAATGTACTTATTTCATGATATACATCCATGCCATTGAGATTAGAAGTAAAAGGAGTAATAATCTATTCTTCTTCTTCAATTGAGCAATATCTTTTTCCAGTTTCTTCAACTTTTTGTTGTACATCTCCTTCTCTTGTAGTCCACTTGCACATTCGACGTTCTAACGAGTTGTTTCCGCTTCTAACCGGTTTATCTTACGCAACAAACCGGGAATTATTCCCTTTGATCTTGCACACATCGGAGGGTCAAACCAATTCCAAAAGGTACAACCATTTTCGCTACAATCCACGTACCTCCTACCTGGGTTAACAGGGGTCCATGAAGTTTGTAGTCAAGCAACCGTGCCACAAAACAAAAAACACCGGCTTCTCTCCTTGTTGAACTTGAAGAGCTTATTTTTTTGTCTACTTGGAAGAACAATAAATTCAATTGGCGATTCTTCTTTAATCGATTATGGAGCAAACTTCAAGAACAACTTCACTAAAGCCATAGACCACAAAGCTACTTCCAGCACCTACTCATTTCACAAAGATGGCATTCGGGACCAGTTAACAAGCTAGTTCAGGATCAGTTTAAACTTTAAAGTGGAAGATTAAAACTTGCAACTACAAGCTCCAATTAATTTGATACAATGACATACACAAGCAAATTATAATACACTTGTGACCGAAGGGAACCAAATATAAGTAACAAAAACTAAAATCAGCTTCACTTAAACCATAGACCACAAAGCTACTTCCAGCAACTAATCATTTCACAATGGCAGGTAAAAACAGTTTACAAGCTACTACAAAATCAGTTTACAATGGAAGATTAAACCTTGCAACTACAAGCTCCAATAAAATTGATACAATGACATTCACAATCAAATTATACTACACTTGAGAGCGAAGGGAACCAACTATATATAATAAAAACTAAATTTGCTTTATGTTTGACACTAAACATTCATTCGACGTAGTTAAACATTAACCTGGCAGTGCATTATTAAAAAATGTAAAAAAAAAATAGGAACACCATCAGCTAATCAAAAAGCATCAACTTTTATTAAATTTTGATTTCTGAAGTTGACAACCAACTATAGAAATATTGAAGAACTTGGAACCCATTAGTTCTCCAACACCATCAGCTAGCCAGAAACCATTCACAATGCCGGTTTCAGACTTGGGCCAAAGAAGGTAAAAGCTACACACAAGAAGGTAAAAGATACACAAAAGAAGTTGTTCCTCCCTTCTGCTACAACATCAATTACAAAAAAATAATCACGATTGAAACCCCATTTCAAGATAGTCGGTTTGAATGGCAATTGCAGAAAGGGAAGCACGAAAAAGATAAAATCTAAACTTCGAATCAAAAAACCCATTGAAATGGAAATGGATTTGCACCACATGAAGTAATCATGCATTTGGGATTCTGAAATTGAACTTTCAATTCAGTCCTCCTGATGCGATTCGAACCACTGCCAAGCCGCCTGAAAAATCTAAATTGAAGGGACGACGAAGCCCACGACCGTGGACGAAAGTGTCGTCAAATGAATGTAGATCTTTGGTTCCGGCTTGTAGGGTTTGAGTTTTTAGGGTTCTACAAATTCAAGTTTTTAAAACCAATAGATTCCTATCATGGCAAGTAAAAAGAGATAGGATTGGACTAAAGGCCTATCATGCTTAGTAAATAAGAGATGAAGTAAACGAGGCCTAAGGATATTTTAGATATTACCAATACCATCTACTTATCCAACTCATTAGTGGACCCATAACACATCATCACCACACACAAAACACACGCCACACAACACGCAACACACGCACACAGGGCACACGCACGCACTTCAGCACAGATACACACAATACATACACCCAATATATATACACGACACACACACACACACACACTGTATACACAACACACACTAACTACACACACATATTACCTGTCATCGCCGACCGCCCGCCTT